CCCTCCTCTCCCTCAGTCTCCTTCTCCTTCTATGCGCTCACCTCCTGCCGGTCACTCCGGCTTCGCGCCCGCTGGGCCGGTGCGCCCTAAGGCGGCCACTTGTGCCGCCTTATGGATGCGCCGGCGGAGCGCACCCTCCCTCCCTCCGGCGACCTATGGCCGCGTGCCCGCAGAGGGGGCTCGGCGTGCCACCTGTGGCACGCGTGCCATAGGTTCGCCACCACTGGCCTAGGGTATCCTACCCCTGTCCTAGAACATCAGACTTCATCTTCCACTTTCATGCATTATAAAATTGAGCCACAATATGCTGGCTGTGAACCCAATGTTTAATGTTTTATACAGATAATGGAATTGAAAAAAAACAACAAAAAACCATGGGCAGACCACTAGAGTACAAGAAAAGGTTCAACCAATCAGAAGCCTCTTATTCACGTTTATGGAATAATTTTCTCTGTGTTATTTAATTCTCAGCCACAGGTATGAGTAGAAAACTACTCAATAAACCATACTACAGCAGTTATTAGTTTATACAGTAGCCTGGTTCACAGTTTAATGACCTGGCCTGAATGCAGTAATCTCCTGAACCGGTGTTCTATCAGATAAGTATACTTATCATATTTCTATACGGACGTCACTGCCGGTGCACCCGCGTAACCATAAGTGACGCGAGATCAGCTGCGCGCATGCATGCTAGCTGATTTTGGGGTATAGAATTCTGACGGAGACGCCTCCACCTCCAATGACGAGGCATCAGCTGGTCCTCTAATCTGACGGTGTACCGCGCGCATCTGATGGGTGTACTGCGCATGCACTACCACAGTGGAAATAGCTGACATGCAGTATTATGGGGGTTACACACTAGGGATGGGGAGGTTAATGGGGGTTATATACTTGGGATGGGGGGATAATATTGTGACACAGGGGATGGGGGGTTATACACTGGGGATGGGGGTTTATGGGGGTTAATGGTGTGACACACAGGGATGGGGGTTTAATCTCTGTCTGTCACCCCATTAACCCCCTGCATTCCCAGTGTGTCATTCCCATCCACTGTGTGTCACCCCCATTAACCCCTATCCCCTGTGTGTCACCCATCCCCATAAACCCCCATCCCCAGTGTATAACCCCCCCTCCTATCCCCTGTGTGTCACAACATTATCCCTAGTATACAACGCCCTATTAACCATTCTATATCTGATGGATGTGCAGCGGCGCATGCGCATTACACCCTCAGATTAGAGGACCAGCTTATTCTGCGTCATTGGAGGTGAAGCACATGCGCGTGGTGCCTCTGTCAGAATTCTATACTCCGAGATTAGCTAGCGCGCATGTGCGCAGCTGTTCTCGCATCACTTTTGGTGACGCGGCTGCACTGAAATTGACGTCCGTATAGAAATCTGATAAGTATACGGGTGTTTGGGCATGCACACAGCTGTGGCTCAGGATCATTCCAGACTTGTAGACAGGAGGAAATATATGTGCTTAATGTGCACCCACCCATCTTGGACAAATCTTGTATAATTCCTTCTTTGACGTCACTAATCAAGGAGACAGTCTTATTGCTGCCATGATTCCTACGAATAGATGCAGTTATAAGCCACACAGGGACAAAGTGTCAGGGCTCTCAATGGACAATTACAAAGCAGTGAGCATGGGTCGTTCTTGTGCTTTATATGGATAATGGGAGTTTTCCAGCATTTTGCATAAAAATAGTTTAACCTGTATAATTTGCTCCTCGGCTTCTTTTTCCAGGCTGTTGTGAACACGTGGTTTCTGACTGCTTAATATTAAAATGAGAATTAATCTTAAATCCAAAGAAAGCTCGTGAGACACTGTTGTGCTTGTTCTACTCCTTTACAAACTTATGGAAGAGCACTTATTGTCTGTAATTGTTAAGCCACTACCTTACTGCCACCAAGGTGAGGAATATCATGGGACAATTAACTCCAATAAATGGACAATGATTCTTTGTGTTTCGTTATTTAAACATATTTTGCGTAGAGTTGTTTTTGTTTTCTTTTCTTTTTTACTATTTTCACATAGTACATACAAAACAAGACAATGTATTTACTAATAATATCTCTTAATTTGTGCCTTACATTAAGCCGATAAAGACAGATTAACCAATATTTTAAATCTCTCATTTTCAATTTCTCCGCTTAGAAATTCAAAGTTGGACTTAATGAGACAATGGAAAAAAAATAAAAAATTGGCAATGTAATGCAATCTGATACGTGTATCAATATAAATACAGACTTTATACACAACCTCGTGGAGATATGGTGGGACATTTTGTTATGAGGACCACCCCTTATCTACAAACAATTTTTAGAACAGGAAAGAGGAGTTCTCTTCAAATTATCAGCGCATTATCATCTTTTTCTGGGTATTTCAGGAGCCGTTCGTTCCATATCTTATAAAAGAGATATCCCTTACATCTGACATTATAATGACCTTTTTCAATCAGGAGGTTCTGCATCTTTCCAATATCTAACTATTACCAATTTCACCGCCATTAGAATATTATTTTATTTAAGGGTGACAGATGTACCAAGTCGAAGTGAAACAGCAAAGCAAACAATACTTGAACAGTGAGTGGGTACAAAAGACCTTCTCACTATTTAGTAAATGTGATATCAGAACAAGTAAAATATACAATATACACTTACCCCTCACAACAAACAGGGGATATTCATGTAAAATAAACAGATAGAAATGTATATAGGGTAATATTGTTTGGAATCAATCAACTTAAAACGCTGGTGCACAGTATAAAACAGTAATCAGTGCTCACCTTCTAGAGAACCTTTTAATAACTGGCTCTAAGTATAAATGGTATGTGTGTCAAATTTAACGGGTTGACACTACCCACAACCGGATCCAAGGAGCATAAGTAGGAGGTAGAGGTAATTATATAAAAGTAAATTTATTTAAACATATAAAATCAAAATGTATATATGTATATAAAAAGATAATAGACAATAAATACGTCAAGCTTCCTCCTCTCCTCTCGTACCAAGACGCGTTTTGCCTTCAGTGTCGGCTTCCTCATTTGGTATACTGCTCTTCCCTCAATGTCCTGTTTTTGAATGTCCCAAATCCCCACCTTTTTCGTGTAGTCCGAGTGGGAAATCAGCTGTTTCTTCTTTCCAGTCGTAAGTACCGTCACGTCACTTCCGGTTTTTCTCTAGAACTGCAAGTCCCGAAATGCTTCACTTTTTCAATCGTTGATAACGGAGCTTAGTCCCATAGAGTATATTAGTGCAGTTATTAGTCCTTAATAGGTAAATGTATTGCCAAAAGTGATGTCCTGAACTGTTCGCCGAACGGTTCGCGAACGGTTCGCCGCGGACTCATCATTGAGTAAACTTTGACCCTGTACCTCACAGTCAGCAGACACATTCCAGCCAATCAGCAGCAGACCCTCCCTCCCAGACCCTCCCACCGCCAGGACAGCATCCATTGTGAAGCTGCATTCTTAGTGAGCTGTCCAGGATGTGGGAGGGTCTGCTGCTGATTGGCTGGAATGTGTCTGCTGACTGTGAGGTACAGGGTCAAAGTTTACTCAATGATGAGTCCGCGGCGAACCGTTCGCGACGAACCGTTCGGCGAACAGTTCGGGACATCACTAATTGCCAAGTACTTTTTTTGTACTGTGATCCAGCTGTCTGAAGTTAAGCTGTCTAATTGTATGGTTATTCAATTCCCTACCCCATCTCTCTAAAGCCTTATTGTTAACTTGGCAATTTCCTTTTTTGGGGGGC